AGAGCATTTCTAAATCAGTCCTATCGTTATTTATATGAGTGTCCAAAGTATACATCAATGTGTGTAACTAATGGGAAAAATATTTGTAAAATTTTTTTGAGTACATTTATCGAAAACATGTTAAGGAGAATTGATTTTATATTTCACAATAGACTTGTAAAAAATTCACCAAAATAAAACATAGTGACAAATAATTATATGGTAGGTTTATAATCATAATTTATCGTTGAGATATCAAGATTTAAAGATCCTAAAATCTTAATTTTCACATCTCACATTCTAGAAAAGAATTTTAGAACAATAATTAGAAAAAATATTATTTAGTAAAAAGACATATTAGAAGTGGATAATTATCAAGAGTAGTTTAGAAAGTACCTAAGTGATAATTTTTTTGTTTACAACAAAACCCCCTCTTCCTTCATATATAGTATTGGTTAAATTTAAAAAAAAAATCTGAGTATGATGAAAGCACAAAATATATTTACTTCAATTTCACTATAATTTAAAAGTCACCAATTGTATGGCTTCAAATTTGAACCATCATTACGTTTGTCACTTGCTTAACGAGTTTTGTTTTTTTTTTTTGGATTTTTTTCTTTTTTCCTGAATCTAAGGAAAGGCCTCGGTCTTGGAGACAATTTCATGGATTGTTTGTCACTGGTCATTAAATTGGGCCAAGCAATTGAAAGAAAAGGAAAGCGCTTTTAAACGGAAGAGTTGGAGCAAAATCAGCTGGACAGAAATTTAGGATACAAGGCCCAAACGGTTGTCCACCAGAGCCGTTGAGGACCATTGCAACACCTCTAAATTAATGAAGTTAACCCTCTAAGAAAGAGAGTGTCAAAAAGACAAAAAAAATCCCTCTAAGAAAGAGCTTGAGAGCATATAAAGCATGAAAAGCACTTTGTATAATTTGATGGAGCTAATATTATGAAGCAAAATATCAAAAAAGTATATAAAACATGTGTTCAAAGTTGTGTTTATTCTTTTAACTTTCTTTTTACAAATGTTAATCAATGAAGAGCACAAATATTTTAATAGCATTACAATCATAAAAAAGGGTAGGCATTTTACTATTGTTGCATTTGCAAAAAATGTGAAGCTCTTAATATGATAATTGGTTTCATACCAAAATCAATTAATTAATGGATATATTTCAATAGGCCAAATTGAAGTTTGAGTTCAGATATTCCAATATCATCACAATTTTTTTTTTTAAAAAAATGCAGGCATTTTGGCATATTACATTGGTAAAAAATGCATATATTTGAGCATGCTAAACTCAACCTTTAAGTCATTGTAAAAATCATAAATCAATGTATTAGTAGATATATCTCAAGTGGCTAAATTGAAATTTAAGTTATCGCAAAAATTGCTCGTTCGCAGTTACCAAATTAAGGGCCAATTGAAAATGACTTGTACTCCATTTTAAAAAATTAAGAATTATTCAAAACTGCAATTATTCCTTTCTAATTTTAAATGTTAGATATTCAAAACATTACTACATTGGTAAAAAAAATTTTGAAATTTATTGACATGATAATCAATTGTACATCGAAATTCATTCATTAATCAGTATGTTTGAAATGGATAACTTAATTGGCATTGGTAAGAAATTGGAATTGTTTACATGATAATCAATTGCATATTAAAATTTATTCATTAATCGATTGGTATGAATTGGCTAACTTATTTTCTCGTGACATATTTTCTATGCCAACTCAATGCCACCAATAGTGTTGCGCCAAGTGTCATGTTATTATTTACACTTTAATTTGCTAATAACACGTGCAATTTTCCCCGCTCAAAAACCCTCTCAAAACTCTCCACCGGCCCCGCTCTCCTCCTTCTCCGTTAACCACCATGGAACGGGACCCCTGTCCTGATCGTATACTAGATGACATCGGCGGCGCTTTTGGCATGGGTGCCGTAGGGGGCGGAGCGTTTTACTTTCTCAAAGGCCTAAAGAATTCCCCAAGAGGATCTCGTCTCCTGGGCGCCTACCAAACCGCCCGCATGAAAACGCCAGCCACTGCCGGCGGCTTCGCCGTTTGGGGTGCCTTATTTTCCCTCTCCGACTGCTCCCTCGTCTACCTCCGCCAAAAGGAGGATCCGTGGAACTCCATCATGGCCGGGGCCTTCACCGGGGGATTCCTACAAATGCGCCAGGGCTTTGCCTCCGCTTCTCGGGCTGCTTTAATTGGTGGAGGTTTATTGGCCCTCATAGAAGGCCTTCAGATCGCTGTAAATCGATTCGTTGCAGCTCAACAGCAACAAATTATATATGTTGATCGTAGTAGCGTGCCTATTGGCATGGGTCATCAGGGTAATCAGGACCTGCCGGAGACAGCCGGTGCTTCCGGGTCAGCGTCCTGGTTTGGAGGGTGGTTTGGTGGTGGTGGAAAGAAAGAGGAAGAAACGAGTGGAGCCAAGACGGAGATTTTGGAGAGCTTTGATGCTCCTTTGCCACCGACTTTTGAGTTCAAGTGAAATTTCTATGCTTTTTCACTACTCAGTGGGAGTGATCATAACTATGGTTAGTCAAGTACATTCATTCTTTTTGGAGAATAGATTGATATTGAAATTTTACGTCTTACATTGTTGTTAATTTTAATTAATCCTACAAGGATTCTCTGGTAAAGGGAAATTGATTGTTGAGGTTAAATATTTGACACTGTGTTAATTTAGTAGTGACAGATTGGCTTAGTGAGAAATCTTGAATTCTCAATTGAATTAATTTGTTTCTCCTGGTTAATGTTTTTTAATTTAGTTTTTTAATCCTCCTATTGATAGCGTGAATTGTGGTGTATGTTTTTCACCGATTTGGCTAGTGCAAGGCAGAGTTGGTGCCATCAATTTGTGGTTGAGACAACTGGTATACATGAAAGAAGTTAGAATTATGTAGATTTGTTCTTTTAACAAGTACAATAAGTTTACAGTTGCTAATGCGAATGATTGTGAGTTGAACATTGGCTTTGTTTGGAAAGCAATTTTCCAAAGCAAAATTCCTATGTTTTCCGTGAACACATTTTCCAATCACCTGTTTACCTCAAATATATCAAATTTCTACAAAAGAAAAAAAAAATCTAGAAAAATGCAATTCAGCCATTGATCCCTGCTGAAACTTTAGTGTTTTCAGAACAGAATTTATCTGAGTCTTGACATTCAAGCTTCTAACTGGAAAAAGCAAGAAGCCAAGGAAGTATATCAAGGCCAGAACAAAAATGCAAACTGAAATCACAACTGCATTGTGCTGCCAAACGATTTTAGACAAAAACAATGGCCAGTGCAAAATTATTTGCTCTCAACCAGATGAGTCATAATCCAAAAGCAGTCCACTATAAATACATCTCTTCACGTTACAAGAAGCCTGACAGAAGTTTAATTATTATTAGGGAGTATCTATATCAAGCTTGTTCTTTATACAAGAAAGGAGAGTTGGAAGACGATGTTGAGCTTCCAGACTTCCAGTGAAAATTAAACATGTAGCTTATGGATATAATTCATAAGAAGAAAGAAGATGGTCTTGATTCTGCTTACATGTGAATGCAAAGAGATACTCATTCTCCATCTGCAAACTTCTGTTAACCGAACTTGAGTAAACGAATTTTCTCGTTCCCTTCACTCTTCTGCTCATTGACAATTGTCTCAGCTGAATGCAGCAATTCGTTGTTGTACCTCCTTAACAGAATTTCCTCTAGATTTTGAATTTCTGCAAAAAAAAAACAAGGGATCTCCACAAGTTCAAGAGGCTCTCCCACTACAAGTCGCTCAAGGCTGGGAAGGGGATTTGAGCTCGCCTTCCAGTGTATGATGTCCAAGTTTTGACATTTCTAAGAATTTGAGCTTTCTGTATTCTTCATCTTCCATATCCCATATCTTCCCCCCAAAAGGCATGCTGTCGCAATTTAAGTACCTCAAGATATGGCAGCTTCCTAATTGTTGACATTGCCCTCCATGGTAGACCCAACTTATACAGGGTTAGTTTCCTAAGCCAGGAGGGAAAGGTAAATCCCTTAAACTGAATGCGCAACCAACAATCGAACACTTGCCCATGAGGACTTTCTCAATAAACTAAATTGCCTCAGATAGAACTTAGGATAAAGAATCTTAATCCCAATATGTTAAGGATGCAAAATTATACTAGTACACCTATAAATATACGCACTCTATACTTGTTCACCATTTTATCAACCTGCATCACCTGTTCCGAACTATCTGATTATCATTCTAACCGAAATATTTTCCAAATGCGTCAAACAGGTATGTACCGATGTACTTGCGTCTGTGCATGGGCTATGTATTAACTTGAAAATTTGTTTGTTCATTTCATTTTGCATGTAAGATTAATACGGTTAATGGATGGTGGCAACAGCTACTCGAATCTGAATAGATCCAAACACAGATTGTTTTAAGTAGTGTAATTATGTCTATAGTTTGCGGTAATATCCTTCTTATTGCTTTATCGAAGTTAAGGATGGATTTTTAGCTGAAGAAAATCTGAATAAGGAATGTGGATTGCAAGATTTGTATCCAATTAATGTATTTCTTACCTGAGCTTATACCATTAACTTCTCACTGCTCCAACATTTCATCTGGCGAGCTGTTGTTGAAGTTCACGCAGATCAGCTTTTCCACAATCTGGCCTGTCTTGTTTTCCAGTAGTGCCTCTTCTCTATCCGCTAAAAACTGATGATGCATAATTCGTTTTCTACGACTGTATTGTTTGTACTGTTACAATTTTATTGGATAAAGTGTTTGTGCATTTACTGTCAAGTGTCAACCCTTAACTGTGGATGTGATCTCTGGCAAAAATTAATTACTCTGCTTCAGGTTCAGATTCCTTTGCTCTGCTCTTTGGGACTTGCATAATTACATTTGTATACCTATGAACTTTTGAAAGAAGTTTAACAAATAAGGGGCGAAAAGAAAAAGAAAAAGAAAAAACAGTTGGTGCAATGATAACAAACGTAAATAGAAACTACTGACACCCCCCGGCGCAGCTCAGAATATCCATTGAAAGGTAATGGATGTATTTCTTCATTGTACAGAGCTACAACAGAATATAGATACAAGAGTTAATTCAGTCACTGAACAAGGTTAGCTTGCAACATCACTATAACCAATTTGGTTAGGAATCGTCAATGCTACATGAAGCTTGAGCTCTTGTTTAGATGAGACACTATCTTAGAACAATAGAAGTAGTGTTCTTGATAAATGCAAAACCATGTCAGGATCTGGAAAACCAACAGTATTGAGTAGACCTTCATAATTGAGACCAGGGCATATATATGAAGAAAGCTTGACCTTCAGCTCCAAATATTTATCCCTCAAGGACCTGGAAAAAAAAGTAAAGAAATGATAAAGCTGCAATTTAATTGGAAGATCAGTTCAAGATATCCAGTGATTAGCCTTTGTTGTACCAACTGAGCAGAAACATACCAACTTTTGATCATAGGCTTCATTCTCAGAACAATATGGAAAAAGTTTCATGTCTAGCGGTAGTAAATTCTGCACATATTTCATGCTGAAAGGATGTAGATCAAAGCAGGCCAAAGACAACCTTCTCTCAAAATGTTTTTATTTTAAGTGATCACATGGTCAAGTATTCACTTGAATAATTGAAGAAACGTACACTACAAAGTTGTTGGGTTGGATCTAGCTTCATAAACTTATGCAAACTGTACACCATCTGATAATCGAGTTCAACAGACTTAGTAAGATATGAGATGCTTAAAGATAAAACTGACTTTTCCTAAACTTGGGAGATGGAAGGATTAGATAGCATGAAGTACGAGGAAGTTGTATCAATTTTTCATTGGACAAGATTTATATCTTCACTTCTGAAGCTTGGGACAAGTTTCTGGTTAGTTCCTTGTCCATGTTATGTACTCTCATAATAAGCTGAGGAATTTCTTATCCATAGCTATCTATACTCATAAAAAAGTGTGTTGGATGAATTATTATTTTGGTGTTTCTTACTTTTTAGATCTACCTAATATACTCTTAATTATAAAGATGATGTACTGGACCTTAGCATAATCTACCTAATGTACCTTAACATAATGCTTACTATAATGGACAAATAAGTCATTAGAGCATTAAATGCTAAATCTTTGAAAAATCATTGCGAAACTTTCATATATCATAGTAGAAGTCCACTCAATGAAGATCTTCTTCTTGTGTCAAGCTAGAACAGTAATGATACAGAAATACTTAGTGTAAGGATTTACTTGTATGATATCTGTATCATACCCCGGCGAGATTTTGTGAATAGAGAGTAGCTAGCAACTATTAATTGAAACAAAAGCAACAATACAAAACTTTCTTGACCTTAAAGCTTTAAACTTCATCCTAACATCATTGTGTTGCCAATTACTTCCTAGAGATAACAAATCCTTTTTCTGTCAATGTTGGTCAAAACCAATAATGATCTCCAAGCTTTTATATAGTTAAGCATGGCGGTGGGGGTCCAGTCGAGTTGCTCAGCAGGAGCTCAGTCAAAGTTCAACTCAAGCTCGATCTAATCGAGTCGAATTTGAGCATTTACATATTCTGTTCAAAAGCTCATTGAGCTTTTCGAGCTTCATATTTATATATTCTTATATTTTTATTTTTTATTTTTTATTTTTATAATTATTAAATTACCTAGAAACCTATATTCTTAAAATAATTAACACATCTTACCACTTGAGCTCAAGCTTGATCTCAATCTCAATTTGCTTTTTGAGCGAGCTTGACCTCGATCTCGATCTCCAGCACCTTATATTTTACACAAGTCGAGTTTGAGCTTAAAAGTTGAAAGTTCGTCGAACTCGTCGACCACGGGCATATGGGAGTTCACTTTGATGGAAGACCAGCAGCATAACAGCTACGAGTTCGCTTAGATGGGAGCTCACCAGCTTGAAGGCAGTATAATGTTTAGCTGGCATAACAGTGAAAAAGATATTTGAGAAGTCAAAACCATTTATGCAGATTCGATAAGGCAGAAAAGATTAACCTTTGTCTTAAATATCAAAATCTACCAACATGAAACCCAAAAAAAAAAAAAAAAAAACTTAAAAAAAGGCTTGTCATTTTCATACAAGGGGAAGTCATAAACTTTTCTTCGAAAATAAAATTTTGGATTGAGCAAGGAGAAAAATGAACTAAACTTTGTTAATTTGGCATTTTAACAGGAACAATGATAACTAATTTTTATCATTTATACTTGCTTTGAAGCGAATGTAGCTCAAATTCTACAATTTAGATGGTTTCCATCCAAAGTACATATCAATTCATAGCCAAATGGGCTTATGTGGACTTATTATTATTATTATTTTTTTAAAAATCTAGGATGTTTTCTAAACCTTTGCACAGACCACAAGGGTTTACTGGATTTTACACTACTTGTAAATGTATCTGAATTGCTTCAAGGCAAATGTTTGAAGTGATGAAGAAATTTGTGTGTGTGTGTGTGTGTGTGTGTGTGTGTATGATTGTCTTTATCAGTTAAAGAAGTAATAGAACTTAATGTATGCAATCTTTTGTCATTTAATGCTTTTAATCATCCTAATCTTTTTTTTTTAATGCACCAATGATATAGACAAGATTTTACTTGATTCTACCATTTATTGTAACAAAGTTTAGACAATCTTTGATGCTAGAAATTGCTTTTGCAATTGAAGATTGATTCATAAAGAGATTAGTTTCTCAAGGGAAAAGGTGGGAAAAGGATTAAAAAAACAAAAAAAAGAACTGCTGCAGAGAGTTTGAAAATTTTCCCATATAGATTTTATTTAGTATAAAGATGCAGGAAGTTATGAGAACCAAATATAAAACATTCCTGCTTCTCTGCACCAATATATGTTGTAGCATGGAAGTCGTCAAAGAAGACAAGACCTTCAGGAAAGACTTTCTTTGGAACAAAATGAAAAGCTAAGTGAAACAATAAAGCTATAAATCACTGTCAGTTTCAGATAATATTGATTGTGGTGCCTATGCACTGAAAAGAACATTTCAAACCAGAAAACGAGTTGAGTGTAACACTGATTAAGTATCAATTTCCGGGATACCACATCAATTCAGAGAGCTCTTGCAGACTGATAGTGAAGAATGCAGGGGAATGTTAAGAATTCTTCTCTCTTTAAAAGAAATGTTAACCAGAGTTTATCTAATTGATCAGTCATTTTAGATGCAATCATCGATCATGTGTTGGGAGCTGATGTTGAATTTCTTATCTTAGAGTCGGCAATAAAATTAATGAGATGATAATAAGCTGGTCAGAACTAGCAAAAGAAAAACAGTTTTGCCAATTATTGCACTTCCAGAATCCTCATGCTCATAACAAAAGACCATTCCGACTTGCTTTCGTGGATGGTTTCACACTGTCGCGGTTATCAATGCTAAATAACGTTCATAACTTAAAGCTTCTCTCAGGTACAGAAGTATTCATCATCCTAGACTGAGGAAGTAAAATGAAATGTATGAATTAGGTCCTTAGAGCAAAAACCCAACTTTATTCATATCAGTGAAACTAGAAGCTATGAATATTTGAGCATGAGAAGGAATGAACAGGGATCTACATTTACTAGCAAGTGAATAAGCGAAGAAGAACTATACCGAAATGAAATCTTTTATTAGCCAATATTCTAGTGAAAAATCCATCATCTGAAACTATATAGTAACAACAATCCTATGATGTGATGGTAAATGATATCCTGCTTCAGGTCCCCTCAGGGAAAGTAAAAGTGAGAACTCAAATTCAATTTAATCAAAGAAACCATATGATCTTTTTTCAGTGGTAGAAGCTATTATCATGACTGATTAGAAGAAAAGTATACAAGTGCTGTAAACTTACGTCCAAGAACTTCCATCAGTATGTGGAGTATGTGGTTAGTACTTCAAGTTCCTCGTTTCCCATATCCTGTTGATCTTTGAGGATTTGCAAGGCAGAACTCGACTTGGTTGCTGCAGCCATGTAAGCGAATGATTGTCAAGGTAGAAATTTGGCCAAAAATTGAAGGGATCTCCTTAAGTCTGGAAAAATCTCCTACGACAAGCTGCTGAAGGCAGGTAAATGATTCAGCGGAGACATTCCATTCTTCAATTTCTGAACTGGATAATTCTAAGAATTTCAGGTTCAAGAACTGCTCATCGTCCACTTCCCACCTTTGTCCTGGAAAGGCTTGTTCTCTTAATTTCAAAACCTCAAGACAGGGAAGCTTTCCCAATTCTGATACTGCTCTCCACGGTAGGCCAAACTTATGCAAGGTGAGTTTCTTAAGAGTTGAGGGCAAGTTAAATCCCTGAAACTGTACACGCATCCAGCTATAGAACAGTTGCCCAGAGCCATAAGTAGACATTTTTAGTGATTCCAGATCTTTTAACAAAGCCAATAGGGGAAATTGAATACCCTTCCCAGTATAGTTCTCTGATTCTGTGAATACACATCTCAGTTTCCGAAGTTTAGGGAACCTTCTCAATAGCATCCATGAATCTGCTCGTTGATCAACAGACAAGGAAGAAAATGTCTCCACATTATTTAATTGAGAGGATTCCTCAAGCTCCATATCACCAAGAGAGACAACAGCCCTTTCACTGACAAACACATGTTTTAAACTTTTCATTTTGCATATGGTATCCGGTAGTTGAACAAAATCATATGAACCTTGAAGAACAAAGGTTTCTAGGTTCCAGAGGTTGGATATACATGATGGAACAGTCATAATATTACCCCGAATTGCTAGGTATCTCAAATGTACTATTAATACTATTTCCTCAGGAAAAGGGCAATCCAAATTGATGCTCTCCAAATTCAGTACTTTAAGAAGTTTAAAACTCTGAAAAATTTGGGAGGCAACAGAATTATGGGTTGATTCTTTAGTATCAGCAAATAGCATTAGAGAGGAGACATTTGGATTAGAAGGCTTTGATTTGATCAAAGTTTCCCATTCAGAATACAAGCACAATCTGTATTGGTCAAACCTTATGGGACTTGAGAAACATTGAGATACCTCGGTCCTTTCCACAACATGTAAAAAACTTTCTTCTTTAGCTTTTTCCCTGCAGAAATAGTGCAATAGATCATGAACACGACAAGCTTTTATCCCACCTTTGGAACTTCTGCTAGTAGCAATCACTAGGCTTCTATCGATTAGCTCCAAAAAAGACTCCTTTGCCACTGCTTCTAAGCTCCTCTTCTCAGGTTGCAGAAGTCCTTCAGCAATCCATAATAGCATCAGCTTCCGCACAGCAATTACTTCACCTTGCCTATATGCTGCAAAATAAAGAAAGCAAGCTTTTAATGTATCCGGTAGATAATTGTAGCTGAGTTCCAGAATGGCCATACAGCCTTCAGTACTAATGCGAGAATTTGAATTTTTCTCAATTTGCTTCCACCAATGTATATCATTCTTTTTTATTTCAAGGAGACCTGCAACAACAGCAATTGCCAGAGGTAGTCCTTTGCAATTTCTTGCCATTTTTTCCCCAATGTTTGAGAATTTTGAAGGGCAGCCATCACTGTGAAACACCTTCTTTTGTAAAAGATCCCAACTTTTATCATTAGAAAGTTCATTAAGGGGATGAACATGGAACGGAAGTCCAGACATTTCAGCCAACTTGTGATTCCGACTTGTGAACAAAATTCTACTTCCGTTGCTATCATCTGGAAGTGAATATTTTACAGCATCCCAAGCCCCAAGGTTCCAGATATCATCCATAACAATTATGTACTTTTGTCCTTTTAAACTTTGTCGGAGTTGATTAGCTATTTCATCATCATCCTTTTTAGAGATTTCAACCTGATCAATACCAATAACGCTCCTCAAAATATCAAATAACAGATCTCTTCTTCTGTATACTTGTGATACATAACACCAAGCACGTTTAATAAAGTAACATTGAACTGAAGGATCATTATAGACTTTCATTGCCAGAGTCGTCTTACCTACACCCGGCATGCCAGCAATAGAAACAATGTTCAGCTTCATTGATCCTCTTGTAAGTTTGTCTAGTACAGCTTTTGCATCTTCCACCAAACCTACAACTTCATCAGTACTTGAAATACTAGCTCGTGGTCGACCGAAACTGTAACTCTTCTGAATACTAGGATTTCTTGTGCTGGATATCTGGTTCTGTTTTATCTTCATGACATCGGCTTGGATATGCTTAATTTCATCTGTGACATCAGAAAGGCATATTATATTGCTCCAAATATTGCTCCAAATAGGAGTTTCAGTAGTTGCGCATGAGTTGATGACATGTTCTGCCAGGTATGCCACATTGATAATTCATGTCCATAGATCTTTTAGTTCAACAGACTCAGTTTGCAGCTCCATAATATCCTCGAGGAAAGGCCTAAGGAACATGACGAATAGTCACAATTTTATGCTTTGCAAAAGGAATGAAGTTGGCAATGTATTTCAAACTTTTATTCAGATTCCCCAAGAGGAAATCAATGAATCCAATTGCATCCGTCACAGGGAAATCAAAATGCCATGAACTAGGCTTCTTGCCATTAGGCTCTCTGACCTCTGCCTCAACTTCCTTAATCTTTTTGAGTAAATCAGGAAGCAAAGTATTTCTTTCCCTGGAAGTGTCATCATTCATTTTATCACTGCAAAGTGAGCAAATGAAAAATGTCATCTCTCTGATGAGTGCATAAATCTGGGTGAAGATTACAGTTCTCGATTTTCTTCCAAACTCCTCTGGCGGGTCCATGATAAATGTTATCAAGAGAACTAGCCCATCCTGTAGATCTTCAATATGATCCTTTACAGCAACCACTGCATTTTCTAGAAGAACATCGATAAAGCTTGTAACTATTTCACCCATCACACTTTTATCAGCTTTTGATGACTTACAAGCTTTCAGGAGTTCAAGATATATGTCCAAAACCTTGGGGCTGTAAGGCATGATCTTTTGTAGCATTTTATGAAGCATAGTATTGATTTAAGCTCCCATGTTTTCATCTACACCATCTATCCAGTACAGAATAGACAAACACGCTGTATTTTTAGCCCAATCTCGAAGAACAGTCGAGAAAGCTTCCAGTTTGTCCTGCTCCTGCCTACAACACCATTTTTTCGTGAAGTCAAGAAAGTTTCTGGAGAACCTTAGCTTCTCTTGAAGGGCTTCTGTTTGCACTTTCACAGGAACAAAAATACCATCACGAGAGTTGACAAGATCCTCCAGATTCATCAGGATAGAATCCATAAATTCCAGGATACCACCACTGTTAGAAGTCTTGAGCTCTAAAGAGCAATCTACCAAGAGAATACAAGTATTCCTGATTTCTGGCTTGAGATGTTCAACTTTTTCTTGCAACTTAGCTGCAACAAGGTTCCAATATTTCACATCTATTCCAATGGATGCAAAATAACCAGCATCATAGAGGTCCTGTCCTGTTTCCTCCATCATAGCTTCAGCATTCGTCAGGAGAGATGATCTCAAATGATGCAAAGTGGTGTCCTCCTCAGCAGCCTTGCACTTTGCCAAGCAACTGAAGAACATTTTCAGAAATCTTAAATCCAGTAAAAGGGTACGGATTTCCTGCCTCATAAGCAAAGTCAAGGATGGTCTTTTCAGTAGCCTTGATAGCTGGTCAATGGCAGAATCAACACAAGTGCAATCCATTTTTTGCTCTCTCTTTGAGATTTTGGGGAATCCTGCAAATGAGATGTGAAACTCAGGCTAGTGAAGTGGTTACCTTGTTGAGTCCTACTAATGATGATATTCTAAAGTTTCTTTTGATATCTTCAAAGATGCGTGATTTTTGGAAACAAGTTGCTCATGAAGCAACGTTTTATTCTGTTAGAGATTTTAGAGGTTAATACTACTAATTAACCAAAGCTCATTAAAATGCTCATCTGAGATTTTTTTTTTCTAAGACAAAGTTAAGAGCAGAACTAAATCACTGCTAGACCACGTCAACATCCTAAAATTAGCAAATTGTTAAGAAACTGAGAGCGAGCCAGATAGAAGTATAACACACTTAACCAATTGTTGATTGAGAATTTGATCCTATGCCATATGAATATGTTGTTTCTCATTTTTGTATACTTGAGAAGACATTCAATTCTCATCACAAGTTATTAGTACATTTTAAAGAAACACTTTTGTCGTTAAACTCAAAAAGTCATCTTACTACATGAATACATCTATTTTCTTCAACCAGAATCATATAGAATGGGTGGGATTAGACATAATCAACCTGTTCATCAAAATCATATTGAGGGAATGCAAAACCTTATCTCCAACCTCCAATAAAAACTTCAACCTAATGTCCTTTAACATATCAACACGTTGGAGATGTTGGAGATTCAGCATCCCCAAATCACTTCAAATTCTCCCACAATGATGGTATTACTGTAACAGGAACGAATTCAAGTTTTAGCTTTAGAGTCTTGCCTGTGGACAAATGTTTGACGTGAAACAGCAAGCTGTTTGACGTGTGTTCAAAGTTTACAGAGGGATACGTCAAATGTTGCCAGAGAAATGATCAAAGAGGCAATTGTTGAGAAGCTTGACACCAAGAGCCTGAGTTCTGCCTCTAATAGACTCTGTATCGCAGACTTGGGATGCTCAGTTGGGCCAAATACTTTCTTTGCTGTGCAAAACATAATAGATGCCATAGAAAACAAGCACAAATCTGAATATGATGGTTCGCATAAGCTTGAATTTCAGGTGTTCTTCAATGATCATGCATCCAATGATTTCAACACCCTTTTCACTTCTCTCCCACTTGAAAGGCAATACTTTTCAGCAGGAGTGCCAGGCACCTTCTATGATCAGCTGTTTCCATCATCTTCCATCCATTTTGCACATTCGTCTTATTCACTGCACTGGCTCTCTAAGGTGCCAGAAAAGTTGCTTGACCAAAATTCTTCTTGGAATAAGGGGAAAATACACTGTGCAGGTGCCTCGGATGAAGTAGTCAATGCTTATGCAGCTCAATTTGAAAAGGATATGGGGATTTTCCTAAATGCAAGAGCTAAAGAGATCGTACCAGAAGGCATGATTGTACTTATCATACCAGGTATCCCTGACGAGGTGCACCCTTCCGAGCTACCTGCTGGCATTCTGTTCAACTTCCTTGGATCCAGTCTTGTGGATAGGGCTAATGAGGTGAGACAAACTAGTCATTCAAAAATCTAGATGTGGATGTGCTTAAGCTCCTAATTCTGAGGGGATGCTTGGTAGAGGAATGGAAGTAGAGCTATCTGCTTTACGTACTAGATTAATGATGAAACTGAATGAGAACCAGGGAGAACCTCAAATACAAATAATCCGCGGACCACTTTGCCAGTTGCTGCAGTAAATTGCTAAGAGATTCCACTGGACATGAGCCTTACAATTTCCAAATTTTAATCAAATAAGTGGATATACTTGATGTGATATTATTGATTGATACCTTTAATTTCTCGGTTTACAGGGAATCCTCAATGAAGCTCAAATCGATTCCTTCAACTTACCAATTTATTCTGCATCTCCAAAGGAGATGGCTTCGCTGGTGAAGATAAATGGTTGTTTCAGTATTGAAAGCATGGAGGTGACGGATCCTAGGTCCAAGATTCATGATCCAATGAAATGTTCAAAAGGACTATAAAGAAAACTGCAGATATTTCACTGTGCTTGGAATCAGGGTTCAAGGAAGGCACGCAATTGTTCATTGTCCTCCAGCTTAAGTGAGATGCAGTCTTGCATGATCTGCATGCTGATAGCTTCTCATACAGATTTTATTTCAGTAACAGACATACAATGATTTTTACTACTTATACATACCATATTTCCCCTCTAGAAAGCATGAAAGGAAAGATTAATTCCCTTCTTGCCTTTGTACCACCAATTATGTGATATGTTGGAATTGTAAACATAAACTCCTTCCTGTTCCTCTTTCTTTGTTACATAGTAGTACAAGAGTGTAAGATTACAATTGTCCCAGAATGGTATGTATACAAATAGATTATATCTGAACAACATTACCAGTAATCCACACAGATGTTCGGAACACTAGAAGTTTACCATCTGACAAGTGAACAATATGCTTGAAATCTTGTCCAAATATGATACAATCTTGATAACCATCTTACTTAGTGCATATAAAGCCATGACAGCATATCCAAATCCAACAACCATGAAATTCGATGGATCAACAGAGATTTTGACTTCAAACATCTGTAACCATATAATAAATAAATACAGAGTGAGAAATTACACATAAATCTCAAGCAATGGTGTTCTGTTTGGCCTTCTAGTTACTTCAAAGGGGGTAGTTACTGAATTCCACAAGCTGTCACAGTGAGTAGTCTTTTCAATTGGCTTAGTTAAATAGGTGCAGACTCAAATCAATTGAACAGAATTTTATGGTTTCAGGTCGTTGATCACCCCTTGATCCATCATGATAATTCTGCAAGGAAATTGTTAATTTATTTAGAGTGTTAGCTTTTAAAATTGTTCAAGTAAATTCTGCATAATATCATATACAATCTTCATTAGATTTCAAGAGTTAATAAATCCAAACTATTAATTTATAAGGGAAACAAGCAAAATTATACATGTACTGCTAATTTTTTCATCTTTGAAGCAGTAGTAAGATGAAAGTTACTTGGCCCTCAATAATATGGGATAGTGTTGCTCATTTCTTAACTAAATGAAAACATGAATGCAGTGGCCAAAGAAAGAGGTAAAAGAAGAAAAGACTATGAACTTTAATTTACTTACAGGTAATAAGAGTGCATAGATATTCTGCATCTCGAAATCAATGTAAGATAAGTACATCAAATTCCGGATTTCCTGAATCCCTCTGTTCCTGGAGAATTTGCTGAGCGGAATCTTCTACATCATAGCTGCACCTCCTCAATTGAATCAACTTCAAGCCTTCAATCTCTGAAAAACTGAATGGGATCTCCTCAAGATCAGAACAATCTTCAATGACAAGTTGTTCAAGTTTAGGAAACGGTGTATAGGAGGCCTTCCAGAGTACAACGTCCATGTTTGATAATTCCAAGAACTTAAGCTCTAAGAATTCCTCATCTCCCACATCCCATCTTTGTCCCCTAAAGGCTCCTTCCCGCAACTTGAGTACCTCAAGATGGAGTAGCTCCCCAATTGTCGATATGGCAGTCCATGGTAGACCAAGTTTACAGAGGGTTAGTTTCTTCAGCTTTGTGGGGAAGTTGAATGCCTGAAACTGAATCCGCATCCAACTATAAAACACTTGGTCATGAGAACCATTGGTAGACACTTTCAGTGACTCAAGATCTTCCAAGGAGGCCAGTGCTGGGAACTGAATTCCTTTCCTTCTGCACTTCTTTGATTCCACAATTTCACATTTCAGCTTCCGAAGTCTCCTAAACCTCCTCAACAGCTTCTCCGTATTTCCTCCTTGAGTGAAAGCAAGTGAAGAAAAAGTCTCCACATTGTCCATTTGACAGGAATCCTCAACCTCATACTCCCCTAAAGAGATGATTGCCATTTCACTGACATCTACGTGCTTTAAATTTTTCATCCTCCAAAATGTATCCGGCAAATAAATGGTTTTTGTACTTGCCACAACAAAAGTTTCCAGGTTCCAGAGGTTGGCTATTGAAGCTGGAACTTCTGTAAAACTACCACCAATTGATACATATCTCAAATGCACCATTGATACAATTTCTTTCGGGAAGCCAGAATGCAAGTAGACACTCTTCAAATCCAAAACTTTAATAAGTTTACAACTTTCTAAGAAGTCAGGGGAGAAATTGGAAGCATAGCTATCATCATCATCATAAAAGTAACCATCCCTTTTCCGAAAGAAGAGCAGAGAACTCACACGTTGACAAGCGGGTTTCAAACTTCCAGAAGCTGTGGATTCCGCATGAATGCATAATCGATATTGATCATGCTTTACAGGATTAAGGATATGATCAGAATCCTCTGACCGTTCCAGCACATGTAAAAACTTTTCGTCTTTTGCTTTTTTTGAGCAAAATTTGTGTAGCAGATCATGGAGGCGACATGCTTTTATCCCCCCATTGAAGCTTCTTTCAGAAACAATAACTAGACTTCGATCGTTAAGCTCCTTCAAGTACTCCTTTGCCACGACCTCGAAGCAACTCCTCTGGTTTCTGTTTACAAAGCCTTCGGCATTCCATAACAGGGTCAACTTTCTGGCACCAATTACTTCACCCTTCCGGAATGCTCCAAAGTATAGGAAACAAGGCTTTAGATAATCCATTAAATGCTTGTAGCTTAGTTCTATAGCGCCCATGTATCCCTTTGTAGTCGAGTCAGAACTTAAGCTTGCTTCTACTTGCTTCCACCATCCTACATTCTTCTTTTCCTTTGCAAGAAGACCTGCAATAACAGTTATTGCCAGGGGTAATCCTTCGCAATGTTCCACAATTCTCTTTCCAATTTCCAATAGTTCTTGAGGGCAAGCATCTTTGTGAAATATCTTCTCTTGCAAAAACTCCCAAGGTTTCTCCTCAATCAGTGGAGAAAGCAGATAAGTTTTGCCACTTCCTTCATCATCTGATATAAGATGGTGATTTTGAGTCGTGAAAATAATTCTACTTCTATTTCCATCATCTGGAAGTGACTGTTTTACAACATTCCAAGCTTTAATATCCCAAATGTCATCCATTACCACGAGGTACCTTTGTTTCAGTAAGCATCTCCTGAGCTGTTCCTCCAGATCTTCATTGCTCATCTTTGAGAGCTTAACATCATCAATACTGACACTAAGACACTTTAAAATGGCAAGTAATAGGTCTCTGCTTGTATATACTTGCGAAACATAACACCAGGCAAGTTCGTGAAAGTAAGATGTGGTTGAAGGATCATTATAAATTTTCCTAGCTAGAGTGGTCTTACCTACACCTGGCATTCCAACAATTGAGACAATCTCTCGGTTCTTCGATCCACTTGTAAGCAAATCAATTATCTGATTCGCCTCATCCTTGAATCCCACAACATCTTCATCAAATTTTGAATTATTACCTCGTGATGAATGGGCAAGCTTGGAAGTTGTCACAGCAATTTGCTTCCCAATATTGTATTTCTGCTTCATGGTCATGATCTCAGTCCCGCAAAACTTGATTTCTTCCTGGATATCAGAGAAGCAGATAATCTGATGCCAAATAGGAATACCTGAAATAGCACATGAATTCATTACATTTTCCACCTGGTATGCCAGATTGATAATCCGTGTCTGCAGAGCATTCACCTCCTGATAGTCATTTTGCACGTTCTCTGCATCCTGAAGAAAGGACCTAAAGCATGACAGCTCCTCGAGAACTGCCATAACTTTATGCTCCGCAAAAGGAATATGGTTGGCCTTGTACTGCATCATGTCATTCAAGTTTCCCATGAGGAAATCAATAAATCCCATTCCATTAGTCCTGGGAAAATTAGACTCCGATGAATTTGGCATGGCGATAAAAAGCTCCCAGACCTCTGCCTTGAGTTTCTCTATCTTCTCCAGAAAATCAGACAGATTATCATTTCTTGCCTTGGTAG